CGTTTTAATACTTCATTGTTGTACTTAATAATATTCTTTTCAGAAATTATATATAGTTCAATAGATTTATAAAAAAAAAAAATTTAATTTTCATACCAAATAAGTTAAAAAATTACACAAGCCCTCCATAATTTATTGACTTATTTCATGAAAAATTTTTTCAATACGCATTTTTAGGGTTATCTTTGTGTTTATTTTCTGTTAATTAAATAATCTTTCCTCTGAGTACATAGTGTTTGACAAATAAGTGATGGTACTGCATAATCAGGTAACAAATGTTTCCTTGTGTAATGTTGATGTGTGTGTAAAGAGTATTTTGTACGTGCGTTTATATAAATATGGTAAGTAACTAACCTAAGTATCTCGATGTACGTAGAGAAAACTATTACAAAAAACTAATCATAATATAATAATGATATTGATGTTATAAAATATATTAATTTTAATGTACAATATCAAATACTATTTTATTTGTCAGTGTAGACAGGTATAAAATAGTATTATATCATCATCTAAAATAAATTTTTTGTTCACAAAGTAATATATCCATTTATACGTATACAAGTATATAATGTATAAATAAATAATTATACAAATCCAAACATTTTTTTGGATGTACATATACATAAAAAAATCTTATGTATGCGTGTAAACATATACTTTACGTATAATACTTGTATACACGCATCAATGTATACAGATATGTATTACATTTATATAATATCTCTTCAGCATGATATGCATATAATCTTTATTAGATAAATATATATCGTTAGAATACTGTTACTCCTTCACCTCTTTAATCCCAGTCAATGTACTTTTTTTTTTGTTAATATTTTATTTTCCCACATTGACGGGTACGTATTATGAAATTTCATGAAATTTGTATTCATCAATACATAATGTACTAGCGAAAAACATCTCAAAAGGTGAGGCGAACGAGAGAGTTACAGCTGCTCGCGCCACACTCCTTACAAGGCCCCTGGCCGCCTTTTTCGCCGTACCACCACCCGCATAATACCACTACGCAAATGCGCTCTCGTGAAAAGGGAAAACTCGAGGCTTTGGCGCTTTTCTTTTTCGGGTGCTGTTTTACTGTACCTACACCGCCATTCGTCACAGCCACCCCCGTCTGAGACTGCTTACATATTTTTCGCATCGCCTAAGAAATGTAATTCAGTTGTGTATTTTTTCCGATTTTTTACTTTTTTTATGTAGGGGTGCGTTATTATTTGTTTGTCCGTTTACATATGTGAGCAGTGCAATCAGTAACTGTAAACTTATAGTAGTCTTCAATGTATGTTGAAACCAAAAAAATTTATAGAAAATTTATTTTCTGTTTAACTACACAAATGTTCAGTTTCCGATTAGTACTTGTATGGAAAATATTTCTGTTTTATAGTTGATGAAATTTTTTTACTACGTGAATTATCTGAGCATGAAAGAAATTGTTCAACATATGGTAAATAATATCTTAGGGATGTCCATGTGACCAATAATACCTACATTTTAGTATGCGTTTTTAACTTAGATGAAATTTTTGTGCGCATAAATGAAGGAAAATCTTGGCTTGTGAGCCAAATAGAAAATTGAGCTTTTTCTTTTTTTGTGCAAAATACTATATTATGCTAAGCTACACATTTGTAAATAATACGTCCATGTTTTCGCATGCGCTTTTAAAATAAATTTACAAAAATATATATGTATAAAACGCAAAAGCATTTTACTTTTCTTCATGAGTATTTGGCTCTACGAAAAGACTAGATAAGTTCACGGTTCAACAAAATTATATCATCGCTAGAAAATTAAAACTATAATCTCATGCCAACAAAAAAATTTATATTCATAAACTTTTGGCAATCATTTGATTTTAAGCTATTCTACACTATTATCAATTCTACATCGTTATTGATTTATTTTTATTACGAACCCGACGATCTTACATTGTTTGAATTCAATAATTTGGACAAATTTTTTGGAAAGTGCATTCAATTTAGAATACAACAATAGTTGTACTCTTGCTTCGTAAAGGTTTCAACGATATATTTCACTTTCAAGCTACTGGTTGGATGTATCAACTAAATAAAAAATACTCGAGTACAACTGTCTCTCGACTGCATTTCATTCTTTGAACACATTTAAACTTTACTGTTGGAAATTTGGCTTCGTTTTAATACTTCATTGTTGTACCACTACCTCGCGATTCTAACTACTAGGAATTTGCACTACCAGTCTTTTTAGTGATGTGTCAGTTTTCGAACGATTATTACTTTATCTCGTCTAATTATCAAAAGTTTAGGCCCCATCGGTTGACTACATGCTATGTTTCATTAACTATTCTTTGTTTAATACTACGTACGCGTTTATCTAAAATTTGGTATTATGACTATTATTTCATTAGACATTTAAATTTCTGTCTCTACGATCACAGTTTTCTGGAATCGAGAATGTCGAGCAGTCTTTTTTTTTATAGAATATCTTTTAACATCTTTTTCTTCAAATATAAGTATCTAACTACGATATGATTGCACTTTTCGATATGTCCATATCATTGTTAACTTTGAATTTGATTTCTAAATGCAATTATTCTAAGTACTAGTTCTTACACCATTCCGTTTGGTAAATAAAATTTGTACGTCAATTTCATTTAGATTAGTTGTCTTTGGCACATAATTTATTAAGAAAATTATCTCGTTCTACAACTAGTTAAACTTTTTTCAAACTGTCTATCTACTTCTACTCAAAGTGGCACATTTCCATTAAATCACAAGAAATTGAATCGTTGTACGAAATTCGTAGGCAATGCTGCGCAAGCGATAGGTAATTAATTTATTAATTATAAGCCGTCCTCCATCTTAATAAAATAAAAATTGCTATCAATCTCGAAAATACACTCTATATTTTGAGATACCAATGTAAAATTATAACTTAAAACTCAAACTCAACTCAAATATCTTAATCCGAGCGTACTACATCAAGCTTGATACGAAGCATCAAGTAATATACCACTTATGGAAGTATATAAGTTATTTGCGTGGGAGGAAGGCAAACGAATGAATAGCGGAACATCTTACTGGCTAATAATACTTGAAAGAATGCATGCCATAATGAAATACGCAATTTCATAAGAAAAAAAGCTCAATCCCGTTTACTGGGGCCTCGACAGTTGTGTCAATAAGGCCGTCGGTCATAGCCCGATGGTGTGCCCTAGGGGATGATACATGGCGCTCATGTCAAGACTCTGGACCCCCAGCAAGTCGCTCATGGAGTAGGTAAGGCTAGCAGCCCTGGAGGCTGCGGCAGCTGCTGCGGCACCCGGATAGGGCCTGTATGTTGCAGCAGCGGCGGCGGCGGCCAGGGCTCGTTTCATGTCGTAGACCGCCTGGGAGGCGGCGGCAGCGGCTGGCGCGTTGGCTGCCGCGGCAGCTGCAGCTGCAGCAGCGGCGTACTGGTAACTAGCAGCTGCAGCTGCCGCGGCGGAGGCCGAAGAGGCGGGTGATGGCTGGGCCGTGCTGACGAGGCTCGGGGCAGCGAGCAAGGCGGTGGTGTGGGTCGGGTGCGGGTGGTGGTTCGAGGCGGCCGCGGCCGCGGCGGCAGCGTGTGCGGCAGCGGCGGCTGCGGCCGTCGATGGAAGGGAGTACGGCGCGTAGCGGTAAGTCGCGGTGGTGCTAGCCGTAGGGGGCTGGGCGACCATCACCAACTCACCGTAAGCACCTCGGCCGGCTGCTCGCGTCTTCGCCAGGTTTGCTGGTAGCATCACCTCCTTTGGCTGCGCCTTCTTGCACTCAACCTGTAACAGAGTTACGATAAAGCGAAAGCTTTTCAATTTAATTCGTTTTCAAATGTTATTTAATGTTATTGTGTGTACAAAATTATTGAAAAATGTAGGCATATTGAGTTGAGAAAAAAAAACTTGAACGGCTGACTATATCTTGACACATACTACTTATTAAAATAAATATTGTATTAAATATAACCATTGGTTGTAAGTACTATTTAAAAAATTACGTAGTTCCACTCTAATTTGCACGATATTGAGCAGGAGGAAAAATATTATTGGACTGGAAAAAACGGGAGATTCATTTGGATAAGAGTCACTGACGTGTCTGACAGTAAGTAAGGTTAGATGCAAGTCATGTACTACATTCAGTGAAATTTATCTGATGGATTCCCTCTGAGTCAGTATGAGAATACTTTTACTGTTAGTGAAAGATTTAAACGCGAATGTCTGATCACATACTGAGATAAACTACTAATTTGAATTTGAATATTTAATTTCGCAAGAACATGATTGAATAAGTAAAAAATTATACCTCAGACTTAAAGCTCATTTCCTTCAATCTATACAAAGTATCATTAAATACAGCATGATGCAAGTTAAATATTAAAAAAAAAAATCCTACATTTGGCTATCAGCTAACTAGTTTTACTGATTAATAATTAGCAGCCTCATGTATTTTCTGGTAGATTACTATTGGGTTTATTGCTTAACGTTCATTAGCGGGGCAAAATGTGAATGTCTGACTATACATTGGCATTGACTACTTGTCTGAAATTACTTAAGTAATTCTAAAGGTACTAAAGTCACCCAAAGAACAATAAAATGTCAAAAAAAAATTAAAATTAAAATAAAAACCCTGCCAATATACTACTGGACACTTGAAATATAATTTCACGCGAAGAGGATCTTGCACTTTGCACGGAGTAGTTAAAGAGCACACGTTCAAAGACGGTGGTACTCCTGCAACGTCAACTCCCCAAATTTCCGTAAGTACTTGAGCGACAGCTACGAAGGTGCAGAGAGCCCCGATCCTGCTCTTAACTTGTGCAAGTGTATATGCTCGCGTATCTGTGTGTACACATTTTCAACGCCCCTATGCAGACGTGACGTCATGTGTACCAAGTACAAATAAGACGCCATCCCCGCGCGTTCATGCATCTGTAAGGATGGCCTTGCGCTCAATTATACGGGAAATTAATCTTAACCTTTGGATCCTTCTCTTCTACTGTCAACCCAAAGGGGAGTAGACGAAGATGGACGAATCGTTGTATGTGCACACGAGAAATCGGACACGTGGATCGCTTTAGTACGCACATAATGAAAAGAGAAAAGGCGAAGAAAGAAAATGATGGGGTTGAGTTTACTCACCATTTTGTTGTTGATCTCGTGGAAATGGATTTCGCACACTTTGTCGACGACGTCTTCGCTTTGAAACGTGACGAAGCCGAAACCTGAAACAAAAGAGACGTCCAGAGGGTCAGTCCATGAGATTTGAGGAATCAATGGGAGGTGCAATTGCAGTGGAGCTGACAGCATACATCAGCTGGTTCGTTAATGGTCAAGAAAACGGAAACAATGGCCTGGCTAATAACGCACGTGACCACCGAGTGAAACTAGAATACCGGCTATTGACTTTCACCATAGTTTTTCCAACGACGCGATGACAGTGGCATATTTGACGAAGCACAGTTTTTATTCATTGAAATACGTCTGCCATCGTCGACATCGTTGGGTGAGCTTTCGTTTTTAATGAGCACACTGAGAAATCTAATTAAAATTATTTCTACAGTCACCGAGGCATTGATTGCTTTTTACCGCTAATTCTACTCTTTTACTGAAAATTTATTTGATCTGTAAATCTACATAACTTGTGGAAACACTAGATTCATGAAAAACAAACAAAAAAATCATTATCAAAACTTAGTTATTGTATAAGCAAGAGAACACGTGGATTTTCATTATGAAGAATTTAATATCCCTAAAAATGACTAAATTATAAATAAGGTCTTTCAAGTAGCACGTATTTTGCATAAACCGTTCGTATCGTTGTTATTACAAAAATGACTTCCAACGCACTTGAATAAATTGACGCTCACATTCACGTGAAATACCCCACAGTTTCATGGTAATCAAGATTCCAGCATGGAATATTTTGACGTCAGCAGCAGCAGCAAAAGAGCGAGAATTCCGGGAGCGCAACTTAATCAAGAATCAAGCGGTTATTAAAAACCTGGGCATCGTTCTTTATTTTTTGCGAGCAGCCAAGAGCTGATTATAATCTCATTCTTCGCGGGCTGCCATCATAATTTAAGCGGGCCTTCGTGGAGTTATCTAGCTCGGGCGGGAGTTATGAATCAGTGAGCTTGGAGGTGGTGATGACGTGGTGGAGATAAAGGGGAGAGAGCGAAGGACCGAGGCCGACAACTTACATGGCGTCGTAATTAAGCGCAACTCCAACCAAGAGGACCTTTTTGTGTGTTGCGAAAGATAAACGCAACGAAATTTAAATGTTGCGCTTCGTGGGTGTTTTTTGCGGGGTATGCGTGCGCGTGCAATAATGGTTCGGTGTCAGCCAACTGTTAACTTGGATTTTTCTTTTGTGTGCATCTGGACAATTGTGTTCCAGCAAATGTGGAAGGCAACTTTTTTTTCTCCCGTGAACGGGAAATGAGATTATTTTTAATGTCTCTTTCTCTGCAATGCTGTTAATGTAATTTGAAAATACAGTTGAAGGAGATATATATTTCATAAAATAGGGATTTCTCTAATTTACTTGGTTGGTTTAAAGTGCTTAGTCGAGGTGTATTTTTAAATAAGTCTTTGAAGGTAAAAAGTTAAAAAAACATGTTAAGAAGGTATGACTCTACGAATTACTTGACATTTAAGAGGCTTTACGTTTCACATTAGTACATTAGCTAAAGTTGTTATAGCGTAACAAAAACAATAATTTGAGGAAAGCTACTCTGAATCAGCAATTTTTTGCGTTCACTACCATAAGCAGTGGGGATACGTAGCTACGCTTCCTTGGAAGCTTCTCCAGTGGGGCTATGCTAACGCTATCACTACTTCCCCTACTATTGCCAAGATCGCCGAGGTGATCAAGTTATAAACTTGCTAAGACGTTCGTTCAAGCGGAGAGAAGGTAGCTTACTTCATTTATGTAATTTATAGTACTCTCTGCCAGGCAGCTAACTTGGTGGGCGAGCGAGAGCTGGCGTAAGCTACCAGCTACTTTCCTCTTCTCTCGAAGGACAGATGGAGGGAGAAAGAGAAGGGGAGGACGATAGTGGGCGCGGAGGAAAGAGGCGGATGAGGAGGAAGGGGAAGGTGTAACATTAAACTAGTTACTGCCGCGGTCTATTAAGCGGAGGACCATGCTCGCGGTTCCGTCCGGGTTTTCCTTAACTAGTACCCTCCACGGCGCCCGGGGCCGCGTTATGGGAAATATTGCGTACCTTGTGTACTTACTGCGGAACAAAATGCGAAAGACTCGAGTCGGTATTAATTTTTATGAGGCAGTTCCTTAAAGAGCTGCACTTGACTTAACTTTACGACGGCTACTTCTTTTCCCGAACCAAAAAGTTTTCATAACATGTTTTTTTAGTATTTTAGCTCACAGCTTGTAGATTTACAGTTTTTCTAACACTCATATTAACAATAATTAAAAATAAATTACTAGAGTACATCGCGTTTATTTTAGTTTTTTTCTCAAGTAGTACATTCTGCGTATGGTCAGCCATTATCGAATAATGCTTTACTTGGGTAATGTACAGTGCGAATGAAACTTTGAATTATCAATTGTAAAAAAAACTATACACTAACGATTATTTACCAAATCTTTGTTAAAATAAAAATAGAACTCAACGTTAGAGTACCGTTTAATGAAATTGTATACTTTCAGTAGTACAGTCTGTGTATGGTCAGCCAGCGTCGAATAATGCTTTACTTGGTTAATGCATAGAGTGCGTGAATTTTTTTAATTGTCAATTGTAAAAAAAAATTTTGTACTAACGACTTTTTAAGAACCAAATCTTTATTAAAATAAAAATGGAACTCTACGTAAGTACCGTTTAATAAAATTGTATACTTTCAGTAGTAAAGTCTGCGTATGGTCAGCCACAACTGAAAAAATTTTTAAATAATATGTGTAGGGTGATGCATTACTTAATTTTTTTCCTTTATGTATTAAAACATACAACAATCGATCTTCCAAAAAAAAAAACATATTTTGAATCCTGAAATAATTCCTCGCCAATTCATAACTAAAAATCGCAGACGACGACTCTAACCGAAATTGTAACGAAGCAACATCTGGACCAACTCTCGCGACATTAAGCCCAGCGGCAAATTCCCTTCATCATTTTTCTTCCGTTCCGTTAGCATTCCTTTTTCGCAGAGGCCAAGTTCCGCAACGATTTATCGTGCGTATCGCCGCGACGACACGAGCCAAGGTTTTACCACTTTTCTCCCGGAAAATGACGCATGCGGCGAGGAATATAGGCGACACATCCCGCGGAATTAATGCCCCACCCGTAGCGCTCGTGCCCACGTTGTTTCCCTTCCTCACAGGAGCACCGTACAAATTACGTCAGCGCCGGACGCAAATGATATTCCGATTTTCGCACCGCTGCCACGACTCGCAGCGCAATAGTTTCCAACTGGGCTCCCAGAGAAATATATTGCACGGCCAGCCGTCGCAAGGGATATTTTGTCACGCTAACGATCTGTCGCGCGTGAACTAGCCACTGTGACACTTGGACCGATTGATTTCCGATAATTATACAGAAAATTACCTCAACGGCTCTTACTCGCTGATTTTTACTGTGTTCTGACTGTCTTATAGTTTTTATTTCATGCTTTTGAAGAATATATAATCATAAGGCTTTTTTTTTAGCAATACTAAATGCTTTTATTTAATGCTTTATAATCTTTTATAATAAAATATACGTGTGGTCATGTACAAATTTAAGTGTATTGAATCCTTACGGGTTTTTTTTGTAAAAAAAAAAAATTAGAAATTTGTGTCCTTATTGAACACTTAAAATTTTTTAATTAAAAAATTGGATAATTCATACGGCAACAGGAACTTGATCCAAATATCATCCAACCAAAGAAGAATAGGAAAAGAGTGTGAGAGGAAAAGGTGTTTGAAGTACTGGCTGGGTGGGCGTTAATAAATTTCACGACTACTTCTGATCGAATTTTTATAAGGTAATACAAATATATCCTCGGCTTTGGGAAACTGATGGTGTTATTTTCACACCATACGAGCTTCCACTCGTACATGTAAATGTATGCGTGTGGATGTAAGCGCGCCGAGGACGAGAGAGAACTGCGAATTCAGCAGTTCCATTCCTTTACGAGGAGAGCGAAGCCGGATAGCAGATGTGCACTCATTCCTAGGGCATGGTCATTCGTTTCGTCGATGCATAATATAAAGATTCGGTCGCTTCCGCCTTTTTCCCCCCAACTGTGCGTCCATTCCCCCCCCCCCCCAAGCGCCAAAGATTGAGAGGTCCATAAGGAGCTCCGATAAAACTGCCTTTTTAATAACAGCGCAAACGATTGGTACCCTACGACCGGAAGGAGCAAAGTGCCTCGGTAACTCACAGATGCAGCCGTTTCCCATGAAAGGCGTCGAGCGTATGGGGCGCGCGGCGAAAGACGACGTTTACTAATTTTTCTTTATAGTATGACGCCGGAAGCGAGGTATGGGCGAAAGTTTCATGATGAAAGTTAAGATTATGCGCAGGAAAAATTTATTGCTCAATTTGAGGAAGTGAATTTTTATTAGAGGAGAGAGAATGGCTGGTTTATGGATGAAAAAATTTTAATACGTCGGAAGGAAATTTTTTTAACTTTAAAATGAGTCTTACGTATTTATGTCAAACTTGTGTTATTTTATTGTTGTTATAATTTTTTTTTTAACAAAATATTCAAGTACACGAGCTTTAACAGATTTTATCAGTTCTTATACCAGCTCGTAAATATCATGTGTGACGTACGTAGCACTTAAATTTATGACTCCCCACGATCTTACGTTTTGGTGCTAAAATTTAAAAATACATTACCAGTAAAGTTAGCTTCTGGATTTCGAAGAGCTGTCAGTTTTTCGAAAACTCATGCTTTTCCTTTTTAGTCCAATTTCTCCAACAGTTTACAAAGTTACTTACAGGTGCACTGAATGAAAATAACCAAAGGAAGCATTTTTTTTTAGTATGCTCTAGAAATGCCTCTTCGAAAAGCGCTGCATTTTCGTCACCTATTCTCGGCACAATTTTTTTTTTTTTTTTTTATTTTATTTATTTCCACGCTGCACGCATGACTCTCTTTCTTCTTGAGGCCTAATAGCAAGGGCACAGCCACTACTTTGCCACGTCTTTTGAGCACAAAGAGCTCAAACCTTGCATTAAAATTTAAAAAGCAGGAATTTCCGCGCATACGCGTCATT